TTTGAACCTTATGCCTGCTGTGCCAGAGCAGTTTCCCTTGGTAGATGTTGCCACAATGTCTTTCTGGGTCGGCCAGATTTCAGAAATGAGAGCACATTCTAACCCTTACCTACAAATCTTTTCAGAAATGGAGCATTTGATTTATACAACCCATCACTCCCACAGTGACTTTTTGTTGTTATTTTCAAAGAATTTCCTCCGAGTCACACTCTTACTCCACTGTAAAGCAAGAACAATGCTGTCCAAAGCATGCTAATGTTAGTTGCTGCCCTACATCTTTTAAACGCTCTTTACTGTTCTGTGAATGTAGGTTTTTGACCAATATTTTTCCTGCTCTACGTTTGCTATGCAATTATGATTATGAATTCTATACATCAATGAGAAACTTCTTTTTATCTTAAATTGGAGAAAAAACATCGGAATAGGAATTCTGCAGTGCTCTCAGACCTCACCCAATGCCCCACATACATTATATTGGGGTTGCCCTTTTGATGGTAGAGTTATTTTCATGCAGTACATCCCGTACATTTTCTTGCTTGATACTAACCAATGAATAGAATAAACAATCGAATAGAGCAATCTACTTATCACACATATGAGTATTAGGAAATAGGCAAAATGGAAAATGAGGCTTGGACTTAAAAATTTTTTTCTACATAAACAAAATTGTAAGGAAAACACAAACAGCAGGTTAGAAGAGGGGTACTTTCATAGTTTGAAGCCAAGTTGTATTTTCATTTTGCCTGTCTTAGTGGGTTTTAAGGTACTACCCAAAGGATCAAGATTGTATACATCATGTGTAACGGATAAGATTTTTCTGCTTATGTTTCAATCATGAGGAAATTAGATATTTCACTTGAAAGAGAAATTAATTCTTTATGGAAGGATAACTGGACCATTGGTATTTTATCTTGACCTTTTTATTTCTGTGTATGACAGGATAAAAATATTCATGTCATCTCACTAGAAAAGCAATCATGATTACATAATCACACTGTGGAAATATTTTCAGTAGGTTATCTGTTTTATCAGATCTACCAATGATCTATGTTGTCAAAGGAAAATAATACAGTGTGTAGATCTGTAGATCTAACTTAGAAAAATTATCTATATTAAGAGGTGAAGATATAAGCATTCCCCCCCTGAAGAATCACTAACTCTAATATCTGAGCTCAGAAATAGGTTAATTAACTGATAAAATCATAAAATGCTCTTATATGTGAGAGGAAAGAATTCAGATATTAATGGATGGTTTCAGCCGGGAACAATATCTTCGAGAAACTGTTCAATAGAAAGTTAATGTACAGTTCTTCAGCACGTTGGTCAGTTTGCTTTCTTTTGTTTTTGACGTGTTTCTAATGAGAGGCTGTTTGGGTGATACAGTGTCTGGCCAAGTCCTTATGCTTTAAGAACTTTCAATCCAGTTAGCGGATCTCCAAGTTTGCCTTTCTGTCTTGTTAGTCTGCCCTTTGGCTTTCTTATTTCTTGTTAGCAACAATCTCACTTCCAGAGACATTAAGTGTGGGAGCAGAGATGGCAGCTAAACATAAATCTTCATTATGCTGAAGAAATACAGGTTTTAAAAGAAAACTTAGGATTTTATGACAAGCTACCCAGTCTTCCATTAATATAGATAATTGGAAGTTAATTGTCATAATACGAATTTCATGTTTTTAAAAATCTCATCTAGACCATCACATGGTTCCATATTCCCCCAAGATGTCTTCATACAGCTTTAGCCTTTGAAGGGGAATTCTATTATACTGTATGTGCCCACATGTCCTTTCCAAGGTCTCCCTGAAGGTGCTTCTGCATCTTCCTCCTGAGGAATTTTTCTAGTCTCCTCTGCAGTGAGGACTACATAACTCTGCTTCTTTGTGGAACAATTTTGAGTTGTCCTACAGTCTCTCAGAGGTCCCCAGAAGGACTGGGTCCCAATCGTCCACAGTTTAACTATCTCATTAACACAACCTCATATTTTGCCTTCAAAATATTTTCTGTCTTCTGTTTTTCTACCACACTTCCTAGATCACCTCTCAAATAGTTACTAGCATCCAAAGTGTCTCAGAATTTGTTTTAGTTTATCGGTTGGGGGAAGAAATTCAAATGAAGGCAATAATTAAGGAACATCCTTGTTTCTTTCTGTATATAAGATGGGCAGAAAAGGAAAAAAATTAATCAAAATAGAAAGTATCTAAATGGCCATCTAGGGCTGGACATGGGAATAGGGATTAAATATAAATTTGTTTGAGAGAGATTATTGGAGAGAGATGACATATTCTACAACTGACTTAGAGTGATGGTTAAATCACTCAATGTAAGTTGCTAAAAATAATTGAATTATAACTGAAAATGGGTGAATCTTCTGATATATACATATACTTTAATAAAGGTGTTTAAACAATTACTTGATTTTACATGGATAGATAGTGATCCAGAGTGTTAAAGTGCTCAAGGTTACACAGCAAATACCTGTCAGAGATAAGAACAGAATTTAGATCATGTGATTGATCTGCGAAGTAGTGAAGCCAAAATTAAAGACAGAGGATTAATGTAGATAGGTGATTGGGTGGGATGGAGAAAATGGAGGCTGATTTGGGTCCAGGAAGTTGGAGACCGCCCTGGGAGACTGGAATGTTAATGTCTGCTAAGCACCTTGATTACTGAGGTTACCTGCCTATACTATCCCTCCCAAAAGATTGCAGTCAGGGAATTGTTAATTAATGCCTCCTGGGCTGCTTCCTTCCTGGATCACTCCATTTGGCTCTTCCCCCTGCCAATCTGCTTCTCACCTTTTGGCCATACCACTGGCATCTCTTGGGCCTAGTCACGTAGGCAGGAAGGGGAAAGATAAAAGGGAAGAGGGCAGGAGAACAAAGAAAGTCTAAAATGTATAGAAGGGGCAAGATGCTTTCACTACTTGGGATACCAGCTATGGCTCCCTTCTCCCTCTGGGGGGAAGTCTGCGTTACTACCTTTTAAATAAAACCTGCTTTCTATGCTTGCCTTGGCACTTTATGTTCAGGCTTCAACATTTGAGGAAGCAGAACTCATCACTGATAACTGGTGGTATAAGCATTCTCCTGTGTAATGTGATATGAGTACCAGAAATATTATAGGATTATTGACTGTTGATTATATTAATTAGTGTGTGTGTGTGTGTGTGTGTGTGTGTGTGTGTTGGATAAAAGACTATAAGCAAAGCACCCATGATGTAATGTGAACTGCAACACTTAAACTGCAGAACTTAGACTTAAGTTAGAGATGTAAGAGTTGTAAGAGTCTACAACTGGAGCATACAGCCCAGGCCTCAACCATTTATCAGTTGCAAGCACAACTGAACTAGGACTTAAAAGCCCAGACTTCTGAGGGGTGACAGGACTAACCAGACCCGAACAGAGAGACTGAGATCTCTACCGCTGTTGTCCCCCCTGTACCCGATTCCTCTGGCCCCGATCAAGTTACAGTGACCGAGACTTAAGACACAAGTGAGCGTCTGGGACCCTTGGGTGTAGACTCAGGACTTAGAATTAAGATGTGTGTCTGAAGTATGATGAGCATTAATAAAATAGATTTGATTGAATCTAACTGTACCTCAGACGGAGTCGATAATGACTGCTCATGGCATAATGATCTTGCTTTAACTCATTAAAAATAGACACAAAAAATTACAATTGCAATTAAATACTATATTTATAGCAATTATAATAGTTGTCATGTATTTAATGCTTATTTTACGCTAAATGATTTATTTAGATTGTTTCATTTAATTTCACAATGGACCAAAAGGTAGCACTGAAAAACCAGCCTCTATCTCAGAGCAAAGCCTGTCCAAGGAAGGGACATGGCCTTTGTCCTTGGAAAAACCCACAGAGCACTCCTAGGCACATTCCCACCCTGCTAAGTTGTTTATCTACAAATAACAGGAGAGATCTGCTGCGCCAGGTGTCCCTGACTCAGTTAGGCTAGGTGGGGATCCATAGCAGCCCCCTAGCAGCCACCAATCAGCATGAGACAGGGAAATACCTGGGATGCCAGATGACCCTCCCAGTGGTTTATGGTGGTTGATAACAAGTTGGGAAACCATGTAGTTCAGCACGTGTTAGAGTCTGTAAATAAGTCAAAATAACACCTGGCATTTTGTCAGGGGAATGTTAAAGCTCGTAAACAAGTCTGGATGGTGCCTGGCAAAATGCCAGAGGGAGTGGTTTGAGAAGTAACAAAAGCGAGCCATTAAGTGTAGAGATTCCTGATTGGTTGACTGATGTATCTAGTTTATGCTAATTAGATAAGCTGTGTGGAATGTATAAATACTGCTCCTGTCCTGCAATAAACGGCTCCTACTCCTGCTGTATCAATCTACACAAGTTATTCGTCACCCCCCTGATTATTCTGCTGTAGCCAGACTGCGGCAAGCACGTACACCCCTCTTGGCTTAAACCAATCAGTTCAAATGAATACCCCTTTTGTACTGACCAATCACCCCTACCCAACTTGTTCCCGCCAGTGAATGTGCTAATCATGTTTTAGAGTTGTTATTTGATTTTCCCGCGGTGTGTGATGATTTGCTAAAAGAGGCTATGATGTATGTGAAGTCCCTGCCCTCTCCAAAGAATGTATAAAACTGCTGCAAACCCTGGGCTCAGGGCCTCTCAGCGTCACCAGTTGCTGTGTGTGTGCGCGGAGGACCGAGCTAGCTCTCAATAAACACCTCTTTGCTGCTTGCATCGGTCTTGGGTCTCTGGTGGTCTTTGGGGGTCCTGAATTCGAGCATAACAGCACTATTATTTTCCCCTTCTTATATATGAGAAAATGGAGCATGATAGAGGGTAAGAGACTTGTCAAAGGTCACAGAGCTCATATGGAGCTAAATAGAGATTCACCATGATGGGTTAACACAGGAGCACATATTTATAACTGCTATCATATACTCTTCTGCTGCTAACTAGGATTTATAGTTCCTCTTACTGCTCCAGCATGACCAACAAAGAGTTCCATACCTCACTGTTGAGTTTGTTTATCTGCTGTTTGGTCTCCTCTGCTTTTATGAAGAGAACAGCAGCTCCAATCTCTGGGTCTGAAAAGAGACATATACAGAATGAGCTCTTGAGAAACAAACTTCGTATTTGAGGATTGGGGCAACCAGAAGGAAGGCCTAACTATCATCTTAAACCTCTCCTGATATAAATGCACTGTGGGTCCTACTTTCCCCAAATCAGGTAAGTTTCTTGTACTTCTCTGAATGCTGCTTGATATTCTCTTTAGAACCAGGCATACAACATGGAGATGACTCTGGCTACAGTGATCCTCCTGGGCACAATCACCACTGTGTTCTAAGATGATACATTCTCTAAAAATATATCAGTCAGTGCCCATTTCTTTTCCTCTTTCTTTTCCAAACATTGTTTTCTATGCTCATGAGAATATTTTCAGGGATGGATTTCTTCTGCCTGGTTTCTGTTTCTTTCCATGTTACTCTAAAAGGTAATTTTTCCCATTTCTTAGTTTTTCTTCTCCATTTTTCTTTCTTTTCTTTTTGGTACCAGGGATTGAACTTTTAGATTTATTTGTCATTTCTGGCCTTCATTCATTCTGCCCATTCTTTTCTATGGGCAATGAACTCAAGATAGAGGGGGAGGTGGAAGGAGAGAGGGAGGGAGAAGAAGGAAGAAAGGAAGGAAGGAAGGGAAAGAGAAAAAGAAAGAAAGAAAGGGGTTGGGTTGGGGTATGTTTACATTCAATCATCAACATTAGAGGTGTTTTCAAAATTTCTCTAACATTTCCATCTTGCTTATATCATTCTGACAAGTTGCAAGTACCTAACCTCTTGCCAGATAAATTGGCTAATATGCCAATGTACCTACAGTGCGCAACCAATATAGCATTTCTTCTAAATAATGTTTTTGCGAATTAGTTTGAATTTATAATAGGACATTGTGAGTACCATCTGTTGAGCAGCAGAAATTTGAGACTAGTGATTTTTACCCCAAAGCCAATGCCAAACATTGCAAGTTAAAAAGAACTATCACTCCTTCAGAGAAGAGTAAATAAAGAGCTTACCCCCAAGAGGAGGAGAAATTCTGGACTCTGGCCTGATTCGTTCAGAACCAAAGTCAAAAGTCTGACTTTCTTCACTACTATTTCCATCTTCAATTCCATCAACAATCCTATTTAAAATAAAGAGAAATGTTATGCATTGATGTGCATAAGTTCCAGTATTTTTAAAAGACTTAAAGGATTTTTATATTAAATTTCTAAATTCTAAATACTGTGGGTCTGTTCTAATATGGTAGCCATTTGCCTTATACGACTAAAATAACTGAAGTGCTTCTAGTACACACTTTATATTAAGTATAAAATGCACACTGGGTGTGAAGAATTAGTTTTAAAAAAGGAATGCAAAGTATTTTGTTAATAGTTTTTATATAGCATGCATTTGAAATGATAATATTTGGGATATATTGTATAGAATATTTAAAAATATAATCTCACTTGTGTGTTTTTTTCACTTTCAAAAATTCGGCCACAAAAATTTTAAAATTACATATGTGGTTCAAGATTTTAGCTTACACTTTACTTACACTGGACATCAATATTGTGGAATTTATTATTTTATTTGCTCTCAGATTCAAAAGTCAGATTCAGAATCGAAACTCAGATTAAAAAATATGCACAAAATTCTTTCATCTCAATTTATCTTAAATCAATACTCTATCCTGCAGAAAATATTCTAACCTAATAATTATAGCATCACAGAAAATAAGTTTGATGATGTCTTCACTATAACTTGAGCAAAACTCTGAGAGTTAAAGAATTATATTAAATTACTATCAGAACTTGAGCTAGTCTTCTTTCCTTGGTAAATATCTAACTCACTCATTACTGTATCAATAAGTCTAATGTAGAAAATTTAGACATAAAGGTTACAAAAAATCAGAAAATAAAAATCACTTGTAATTTACCATTACTCTCAAGTTTTGGCACAATGTCTCAAAACCTTGTTCTCTATATAGTAGAACATTTTTATTTTTATAAATATAGCCTCATATAATACATAAATCTTTCTTTTCCAGGTCTGATACATTCTCCATTTAAAATTTACTATTTTCATTTCAGTAAAAATTTAGAAAGGAGAAGAATTGAGTAATGTTTTCAAATCACCATTTCCAATTGAATTCCAAAAACTTAATGTCCACTTACTTTTTACTAACCCTGCTTTGCTTATATTTTTCTTAATAGTCTCTCTTAATGGTTAAAATGTATTCCCTAAGTGAATCAATAAATGTATAGTATGTCAGGTCACTTGGTTTATAAGTAGTAAAACAGAATTTGAACCCAGTTTGTAAAACTGTATATCTCTGAGATCTTGAGGAAAATATTTAAATTTTGAGTTGTAGTTCTTGCAATTTTACAGTAGAGATAATACATACTACTTTATAAGAGTTCAAGAAGACTAAGTGCAACAATGAACGTGAAATTACCTAGCACAATACATAGAAAGCTCTCAATATTTTTTCCTTGCATCTCTGAATTATTCAGCTCTTAGGAAGTTTTGATGATTGCTGTTCCTTTTATACATCATAGCCTGCCCCCTTTGACATTTTCCAAGTCAGGAATTTTCACCTTCTCAATCACCTTTGGATAATTCCAAAGTGATTTTATTTTTAACTAACAATGAAGCTATGTTACCCACTGAAGAAACTAGAAATAAAACTAAGCTCCAGCTATCCACAGTAATTTATTTGTAAAAAGTATGAAAAATAAAAATTCATTTTCTTCATAATTTCAACTTGTTGTCCCATGAAACTTTTGGTAAAATCAGGCATTAAGGAGATAACATTGATGGACTTTTATTTTCATTATAAATTTATAATCATGAAATCACAACGTAGAAATATACGTTTAACCTCATAGAGCTCAATGAATCTAAAGGGAGTAGAGAGGAAGGCTGACCATTCAATGGGTCCTTTTGAGAATATTCCTAAAACTAGTTCTTCTCACACCATACACATGTCTGTGCTTACACTTCAAAAAATCACACACAAAGCTCAGGGGTGCTTAAGAATTTCTATGTAGGAGAAAGGCCCCGAAGGCTGAGTAATTTACCAATCTTTACTAAAGGCAGCCATTTCTGCAGGGAAAAGAGTTATATGATATAACTCTTACCTTGGACTGAGGTCTGGGGGTCCAGCACTATTCAAAGTGGAAAGCTGCAATTTCAAGTTCTTCTCTTTCCTTTTACCATGGTTAAGGGGGTCAGTCTCTTGCTTGGATTTGGGGGAATTTGAACTGGAGACTCTTATAGGGGAATGAAATGGCACAGTTCCTGAGGCCAGCTGCTTTAAGCTTAGGCCTAGATAGCTTTTATTGCTTCCCATCTTCTTGCTGCGTGAAGAGGAAGATCCCCTTGTGTAGATGGGAGAGAGGGAGGCTGTATCCTCTTCCTCCCCCTCCTCTTCCTCTTCCTCATCTTCCACAATGGATGGGAGTCTCTTGTTGATGCTGCCATTTCCCTTGGGCTCTGACTGAATTAGAGGATAAAGTAGATCAGTACAGATGGCAAAGACTTCTTAAGAGGCATATCATTCATGCTGTAGGCCTCAATGAACAAAGTCAAATCTCTTTGGGAGTTGGGTACTACTCATTAAAACTGAAGTCTTTGCAAAGTTTCCTAGAATTTATTTCAGGTGTTAAAAAGTCTCCCCATTTGTGAGCTCCAGGTTTGCCCCCTCTGCTTTCCTGGTTTTAGCTCCCCCCAAACTTTGCTTGGTCTCTTAAACTGAGAGATGTGTGAAAAGTGAATTTTATTTGCACCTAGTTTGCACCTAGATTTTAATCCTCTAGTCACTTGTAATAGTATGTGAGGACATGCTGTTAGGAATAAAGATTTTTTAGTTTTATTTTAATGGAGGTTTTTGGCCTTGTTATTTCAAATTACAAGGTCTTTAGTGGAACTTTACATGGTGATCAACCATCAAGTTTATATTTTCCTTGAGAATAAAAACCTTGGCTATTTGGGGTCACATGGAGAGAAAAGAAATCAGAAGTGTCCTCAGCTATTCTATTTCCTGCTCTCTTTATTGTCGTAAGTTGTGAACAAGAAATGGAACAAACTGCCAGATCTGCTCCCTTGAAAGTCCTTGAGGAAAGAAGGAAGATTAGTCTTGCCAAAATCCATCCTAGGATCACTAGACTCTTGACTAGGGTCATTCAAACTTGTAGGCTAAGAATAATAATGAGAGAAGATGGGAAAAGACAATTGAGGTGCTGGTGGAGATGTAGGGCAGAGATGGCAGCGAAAACTAACCTAGTGGCTCTGAACAGAGTCATTATTATTATAGTGATGAGTTTTACATATATATATATATATATATAATATGTATACATATATAATATGTATATAACAATATACATTTATATATATATATATATATATATATATATATAAATGTATATTTATATTAGTCAATTAGGTTAGTAACTCTGAACAGAGCCACTAATTTATGTTTTTATACTAGTTTTTAGTATTAGTTTTTAGGTTTTTATATTAGTTTCTTGCTCTGACCCCAACATAGCTTAGTTTCTCTGGGCATGTTCAGAAGTCAGTTTATTCTAAAAGGTCAATTCATTTTTAGGTGTCTCAGTTTCTTTTGAAGATATCATCACTTACACATGCTTACAAATATTTCTAATGAAAATAAGATTAAAAGCTGAAAATCCCTAAGATTATTATTTAAATCTCATGAGCTGTTATAGTTATGACTTCAGTGGATAGTTTGTTCATTGGGGTGTTCGAATTTTTCTATATCTACAATAGTTGTTAATGACAGACACAGCAAACAATTGTGACTCACAGGTAGGTCATTCAGTTTAGGATATAGCGACAAATGATTGGTTTACTCATGAATTTTTTTTTTGTTATTTTAATCTAAGTGGCTCAAAATTTCTCAATGAAATAGTATTCCTAGAGTCCCATTTCCAACTAGATATAATTATTTTAATTGATGGTAAAGGCGTATGTTCTTTCTTGGATAGTCTTGGTGTTGCTTTCATTTGTTTGTTTTTTCACAGTTTTTAAAACTCCGTTCTAATAAAAATTGGAACCACACAGAATTATAGGAGAACATTTGTGTACTAGTATGGTAGAATCGAAAATTTAGCTTACCCAGCTAAAGACACAACAGGGCAAACTTAACAAAGAAATGAAACACATTGAATACATTCTCTAATTAGACAACTATTTGTGTTTATACTGACAATTTCATCATTCCTTTGTTTCAAGTCTTCATGGCTCTAATACAATCATCTGACTAATGACCTGGCAAATGTCTGTACTTCTACAAATTTCCTTAAATTTCATACTTCCATGTTGTCAAAGAGAGTTGGTGCCTTGGAGAAGTTGCTCAGAAACTGAGTCTTGCAATGAAGGCACCAGACATTACTTATACCAAGAATGAATTATCCTACCTACATCCTTGTAGACAGGATTGAAGTTTATTAGATTAATAATAACTCGATTAGACACCCAGCTCTATATTTTTAGCCTCTATGCAGGAGAACCAGTTACTTTTTTTCAGGTAATCTATATAAAAATACTTGCTTCCCTTATGTAGCTGGATTCACCTGTTACATACTGCTTTAAAGCTCAGCCATGGATCTCTTCCTCATTTTATTTATCCCTTATTCTCTTTCTAGCAAATGTTTTCATGCAGGCAATGAGATTTTTATACTCATTGTTAAAGGACTCTCAAATTTGGCTCATAACATTTCGCTGGAATAGCCACTTTAAACTTAGAAATGACTAGACAAACCTTTCTTCCTTTTTAAATACTTTCATTTGTAGATGGTATAATACCTTTATTTTATTTATGTATATTGATATGGTGCTGAGGATTGAACCCAGTGCTTCACACATGCTAAGCAAGTGCTCTACCGCAGAGATACAATCCCAGCCCAGACAAACCTTTCTTGATTACAGAGGAAGCAGAACAAAGTCATGAGGTTGAATGCAGGGAGTTTTAGTCAAAGAGTTCTAGAAGTCCTTTCTAGTTATAAGTGAGTTCTTATTCTTGGGAAATGTGATTACTAAAAATCTGTTTCTTCACTTGTAAATTAGGAATAGTGTAAGGAAAATATTAGATATCAAATAATAGAAATTAAGCACAGAACAATGACAAAGAAAAAGCTGAATAAACACTAGCCCATGAAGAAGATGAAAAAAGTATATCAGGGCAGGTGCTGGTTATTTATTTCCATGAAATTTTCCCTCCTATCTATTAACATAACTGTTAGCAATGCACCCTACCCATAGATAACCTTTTCCCAGCTTCCCCAGCTAGTTGGTTTGGCCATAAGGTCACATTCAGGGATGATGGCATATAAGCAAATAGGTTCTGAGGAACTTTTAGAAAGACACTAGAATAGGGAGCTTCTATTCCATTCTTTCATATTTCTTTGATTTCCAGTCTCAAATATTGATAAAATAGATGGATATTCAGCAGCCATCTTGGAGAATAAGGATATCTTGAAAAAGACAGCCATATGTTGAGGCAGATGAAGCAGAAGGAAGAAATCTAGGGACCCTGTGGACACACTGGAATAGGTATATTTCTTTTCTGCACTTTCCAATAGACAGAAATAAACATCTATTGTCTTTAAACCTCTTCTGGTGATTTTTTTTTTTTTTTTTTTGGTACAGGAGATTGTACTCAAGGGTACTTGACCACTGAGCCACATCCCCAGCCCTATTTTGTATTTTATTTGGACACAGGGTCTCACTGAGTTGCTTAATGCCTCACTTTTGCTGAGGTCAGCTTTGAACTCCTGATCCTTCTGTCCTGGCTTTCCGAGCCGCTGGGATTACAGGCATGTACCACTGCGCCCGGCTCTTCTGGTGATTTTTAACATTGCAAATGAACATCAGCCTAAATTATCCAGAATTTACTTTTGAAAATTAAGTGTGTAGTATTACTGGAAGGGTTCCTGATCTTTACAGTTCTACAAAAGGGTGAGAAATCCACTTGATAAAAAAACCAAACAAAATGCCAAATTTCTCAACGTGCAGGAGAGAATTTAAAAGGTCTGGGTGAAAGTTTGTGCTATTGTGAGGAAAAGCTGTCTGGTGAGAAGAGTTGAAACTGAAAGACCATTTTGTTTTTTGATGAGGGATTTTGTAGAGATGAAAGAGAAAATTTAACTAGTTTCAAAGAGAAGTGTGGTTGAAAGCATTGAGAGGCTTCAAGAGCTTTTAAGAAGTTTTCTGATGTAATATTAAAAGTAAACTGTTTGTCCCCCACCCCACCATCATTAAATTATCAATGTCTTTGTCATATTGCTATAGTTTAGATACGAGTCCCTTGAAAACTCATGTGTGAGACAATGCAGAAATGTTAGGAGGTGAAAGGATCAGATTATGAAAGCTGTAACCTAATCAGTGGATTAATAATTTGAACGGATTAACAGATGATGACTGTAGGTAGGTAGGGTATAGTAGGAAAAAGTAGGCCACTGGGGATGTTCCTTTGGGGTTTATATTTTGTCTCTGGTGAGCAAAACACTTTCTCCACTCTCTCTAATTTCTGGTTGTCATGAGTTGAGGATCTCTGCCAAACCTTCTGCCATGATATTCTTCATCTTGGGTCCAGAGCTATGAAGTCAGCCAACCATGGCCTAACTTTTAAAACCTGAGTCAAAATAAACTTTTCCTCCTCTAAGTTGGTTTTATTGGGCACGATGGTCATAGTGACACAAAGATGAGTAAAACAGAAATTGGTACCTGGAAGTGGGTTGTTTTTGAGACTAACCTAAGGGGTTTGGAAGCATTTAGAACTGGTTTGTGTAGGAATTTTTGAAAAGTTTGGAGATGCAGGCTGGGCAAGCCTAGAATGTTGTAATCAGAGCTTAATGGGTGATTCTGGTGGGACTCAAGAAGACCAATAGGACTGTAGACAGTAAAGACTGGGCTCATGAGGTTTCAGAGGAGAAGGAGGATTTATTTGAAATGGACTAGAGGCCATCTGTGTTATATTCTGAAAAAAAAAAGTTGTCTACATTTTTCCAAGATCCTGAGATTTTCTGTGAGGCTGAATTTAAAGGTGATGGGCAAATTAATTTGGTGGGGGACATTTTGAGGCAGCACAGCATTTACATAGTGGCATATTGCTGGTTTTAGCTGAGTTTATGTTGATAATCAGAAACAGAAAACAGAAAGGAAAGATTTTTAAAACTTTCAATTTGGCCAGAAAAGTGTGTGTGTCAAACTGGAGCCAAATGAGGTGTTAAAGAGATTGTAGTCACAAAAGTACTTTACAAAGATGCAATAGAAAAGATGGGTTGAAGGTATCTCAGGAATTGGTAAAACCATATCCATAACAGGTTCAAGACTGTAAGAGTGAAAATTCCTTTGAGAAGAGATCATGGGAGCACCCTGCTTATACAGGGGGGCCTACAATGTTATTTCACTGTGCTCAGCTGCCCAGGTACTCAGGTTGCTGCAGCTGGAGGAGGCTTGGTTACTGCTTGATATGGCAGTAGATACTTTGTGTCATTTCTATGGTACTGGTTCTACAGGAATGCAGGATTCTGGAGTTGGGGCTTCATGGAAGCTTTTACCAAGATTTCAAAGGAGGACTTGGTAGGCCAAAGTGCATCAGGGTCAGAATCCCTGTAGGCAGCCCCTGAGAGGGCAATACATAAAGATGTGAGAAGGAAGTCAAAGCTGTGGTGGAGACACCCATAATTAAGAGATGCCAGAGATTTAGAACATCTGCAGAGGAAATCTGCAGAAAACAATCCAAGAGAGACGCCATATGGGCTACAACCAGCAAGGTCACAGGGCAGAGCTACACAAGCCTTTTAGAGGGAACAATCATGATGTAATGTGCCTCAGATGCTGGATGTGGAGCTATAGGACTTATTTGCCCAGCTGAATTCTGGTTTTCCTTTGGTTTCATCCCTTCTTTCCATGCCCCCATTTATCCCTTTTGGAATGGAAATGTTTACTCTGTGCCATTATTATTGTATATATGTAACTTGCTTATGATCTTTATAGGGGCTCCCAGTCAGGAGTCTGCCTTGAGTCCCGGATGATATTTTGTACTCGAATTTTTGGGCAATGATGGAACTCTTGAAGACTATGGTAAAAATCTTGAAAATGGACTGAATATATTTTGCATTGTGAGATGGGCATGAGCTTTTGGGCTATTCAAAGGCCAAGGGCAGAATGTTATTGTTTGTAGATAAAGTGTCCCCTGAAAGATCATGTGTGAGACAATGGAGAATGTTCACAGGTAAAATAATTAGAATATGAGATCTGTAACCTCATCAGTAGATTACTAATGTTAGTGAATTAATGGGTGGCAACTCCAGGCAGGTAGGGTGTGACTGAGGGAAGTAGAACACAGGGGGTGTGTCTTTGAGGTCTATATTTTGTCCATGGTGAGCAGAGCTCTCTGTGCTTCTTGGCGGTCATGAACTAAGCAGTTTTCTTCCACCAAGCCCTTCTGCTACAATACTCTTCCTTACCTTGGTCCCAGAGCAATGGGGTCAGCCAATCATAAGTTGAACTTCTGGGAAGCAAAATAAACTTTTCCTCCTTCTAAGTTGTTCTTATTGGGTATATTGGTCACAGTGACCAAAACTGACTAAAATAAATGTGTAATTAGATATATTTGTGTGTTGTGTGTATGTGTGTGTGTGTTTGTATGTGTGTGTATTAAAGTTATTGGTTTCTGCTTCAAGGAAGACACAAAGCAAGAAAAGTTGCTGTCTGTAGGCTTCCAATCTGTTATGGTTTAGATATGAGATGTCCCCCAAAAGCTCATGTGTGAGACAATGCAAGAAGGTTTAGAGGTGACATGGTTGGCTATGAGAACCTTTACCCAATCAGTGAATTAATCCCCTAGTAGGAATTAACTGAGTGATAACTGAAGGCAGGTAGGGTGTGGTTTGAGAAGGCAGGTCACTGGGGGCATGGCTTAGGGGTATATATTTTGTTCCAGAAGAGTCAATCTCTCTTTGTTTTTTTTAAGGACGTGTCCTGACCTGCTTTCCTCTACCACACCCTTCGGCCATGATGCTCTGCCTCACCTTGGGTCCCAAGGAATGGAGCCAATTATTTATGGACTAAGACCTCTGAAACTGTGAGTCCCAAAATAAACTTTTCCTCCTTAAAATTATTCTTGTCAGGTCTTTTGGTCACAGTGGTGAAAAATTTGACAAAAACACTATCCTAAGGTTATTGATAATGAACGTCTAGCTAATAAATCAGACAAATTGCTGTTTCAAAAGTTTTCCATGCAAGTGGAGGGTATTTAAAATTGGGACTGTCTTAAGAGTTCACATATATTAAAAAAACCCTATTTCCAGACCATTTCTGAACCAGATTTTTAATATTATAAATACTTACAAGAAAAACTTGACTGCCAGTTTTAAATGAAAGGAAAGTACTTATAAAAATCAATACCTCAATATTCGTTATTCCTGTTAGATGTTGATAATAAACAACTTCATAACAGTATAAATCATTTCCACAGAGAGATGAGTTTAAATACTTCTTTACACTCTCTTCTCAAAAAAGTCAGTTACCACATCTCTTATTGGGAAGTAGATTAGGGAAAGTAAAAAGTAAATGTATAAAATCCTGAAGGGAAAGGAAGATATGTCTGACATCCTCCCAATTTTAGATAAATATTGCGCTCTTTAGCAAAAGCCATACCTGTGAGACTGTGGATTTGTTCGATAATCTTGATATCACCTGAAAGAACAAACACAAGTTTTAACAATCACTTCAGCCTCTCCTGGTGGTTTTGGATGGATAAAAGGTAGGAGATAGAGGAGAGAGGGAATCTTCAGGGAGTGTATGCGTGTGGTTGGCTGTACAGCTATTTGGGTAGGCTAAGGAGGAGAAAATGCCTTCCCCAAAGTGCTGAAAACATGTCTCCCACCTCACTCTCTAGGACCTGAACTGACCAGTGTTGCATAATGAAAAAAAGAATGTCAAGCTGAATGTCTACCACAGGATACACTGACCATCTCATCCTTCTTTTCCACTCCTTTAGTTTTCATTTCCCATTTCCCTTTCCTATTCTTATGTTAAGTTCTTTTCATATTGTGGATTCTTTTCTTATTTAATCTCATTACTTCCTATTTACCTACCTCCCCCTCTTGCTTGAATTCTGGTGGGAGGATGATATCTCCTCCTGCCCCACCTGTTTCCCTGCTATAATGTACCTTGTGGACGAGGATTAAGTTTACTAGGCATCCTAATCCCCTATTTAATTGAATCCAAGATCCCCTTGGTTGCAAGAATGAAAAAAATAAATGCTGCCCAGCAATTGTGACATGTCATCGATTGGAAGATGAACACTTTTCAATTTCAGAGATGCTAAAATTTGTGAGGAGAAATTAAATATTAATAAGCATTTTAGAATACTTAAAACTTTGATCTTGGGACACATATTTTATAAAATTAAACTATGGTACTGGGGAAGGCTGTATGAAAAACCTGTACCTTCCATTATGTATACAGAAGCTCTGGAAATTTAACATGTTCTGGAAATATGCTTCTGGTATCATCCACATGATATTTTTTTGCCTAATTATACTACTTTCATTTTAATGTGGTTGTAGATGCTATAAATTATCATAATTTTATTCACATGCAAAAAAATGCACTTGAAAATGATCCGCTTAGTAAGCCAGACATATTTGGTAATTCTGTCACTGTCTCATCATTTTTTTCTCCTAGATGATTAGGGTAATAGATCTGTTATTATTTATACAAATGCCGTCATCATTATTGCTGTGCAAATATATGTTTCATCAATGTTTAATTTTATCAAAGCAGTCAACCCATTCTACATCTGTTTAGCTGCCTAAGTATGCATTAATCAGAAGCATTTTAGACATAAGTTTTGTAATAATTCCCTAAATGGTGACAAATAAAACAGCTGAATAATTAAAAATGTGAAAAATTAAACAAAATTATGATGCTCTTGTTACTGTGGTAGACATGAAAATGTGTTTCATAAAGCATTTCAGTTACAGCTTAGACTAGAGAAAGAACATCACAGTGGATTTAGGAAGTCTGAATACTGCCAGGCCATAGAAGCCCAAAGACAGAGATGGTGACCTTAGGATTTTCTGATTTGGGTGTGCCCTCAGTATCCTGGCTTAGTAGTGGTATACATTCTGTCAAGTCACTGGGTCTCAAGTTGTTTTACTGTCTCAGTGCTACTCAAATATATATGTGCATATGAATCTCACAGGGATCTTGTAAAATGCAGCTTCTGATGTAGGTGTCTGGGGTAGGGTCCAAAATGATCAATTTCTAGTGAGCTGCCAGGTAGTACTGATGCTGCTGGCCACAGAGCAAACATTGAGTAGTAAGATCTCACAGCCAACATCACAGTTATTTATCATTCTATTACCTATTAATTAATTAAGTATTCATCATGTGATAAGCACCCTGATAAGTATTTCCCAGGCATTAGGTCCATTAATTCTCACTGCAATTCCATGAGATAGGTATTTTTAATTTCCATTTTGCTGAAGAGGAAACAAAAGGCCTAGACAGAATTAAATGACTTGCTCATGGTTATAAGACTAGGAGAAAGAAAATGAACACAGGTTTTCTGCTACAAGGATTGAATGAAATCATGTATTTTAAAGTGGCATGCAATATACTTTTATTCCTCTTGCTTTTTGTTGCTTCAATGACCTGAAGTCACTCTCTCTCATCTTTTACCAAACTCACTGATGGTCAAGAATCAAGCAGAATCAAGTATAGTTCATACATGCATACACACATACACACAATATATGTGCTATACATATGTTATATATGTGATAGTAATTTCCTTGTGCTATGATAAATTCTCTAAATAAATATTTTTCATGTGGTTATCAATCACTTATGTTTTTAAAAGGGTACCATGATATATTCATTCTAATAACCATTCATGATGATCCAGATTTTCAAAATATTAGATTTGAAATATTAGTATTAGTAGCTAATATTAATAGCAAATATTAATGGAAAGTTTAATGGAAATTCAAAAATTTAAAGCTAGATGTAACCCTAGAGTGTCTGCCACGATAGTTTTCACACCTAGGAGATAACAGAATGTCTAGAGAAGCTTTCTTGAAGAAGTCAGATTCTAAGCCAGGCATGGTGGATCATGCCTGTAGTCCTAGTTGCTTAGGAGAGTTGAGAGTTTGAGGCTAGCTGGGCAATTTAGCATGAGTCTGCCTCAAAATAAAAAGCAAAAAGGCTAAGAATATAGCTTAGTAGTAAAGTATCCCTGGACTTGATCTCCAGTACAAAAATAAGTAAATAAATGGATAAATAAATAAATAGTAGTCAAATTCCAGTGTTCTCACTCCAAGTGAGTCAATTGTTGGTGGCTGGGGCCCAGTGATCCCGAGTTTTACAAGGGATCACTGGTCAGGTGTGAAACCACAGATTTAGTGCAACTCCTTAACTTTTTTTGAGATGTGTAATCTGCAGCCCAGAAAGAGGAGGTGATTTGCAAACTTCAGCCATCAAGTTAGTAGTAGAACTTTTACTGGAATTCTTTCACTCTGACTCCCACGCCCTACACAGAACCCCAAGTTTTCTCAGGCATATCCTCCAGTAGTTAATGCTGTTACTTGAGCTAAATGCCTACTGTACTGTGACATTTAATCTTCCACAGAGTTTGACAATGGCCATAAAGCAGATCCCCCAAATCCATGATAGTAGCAATGCTTTAACCTTTTGTGGGGGCACAGATATATGAAAATCTGAAGCGTTATAGACATTCTTTCTATAGGAAAAAAATATATAAGCAAATCTTTGGATGTAAAATGTTTACTGACCCCATTTTCTTTTTCTAAATTTTTATTGGTGCATTATAACTGTACATAATAGTGGGATTCATTGTTATACATTCATTCACGCATACAATACAACAATCTAAATATGGCCAATATCATTCTTAGGTATTTCTCCTTTCTCTCCTTTCTTCCCTCCCCATGATTCCTTTACTCTGCTCTACTCTACTGATCTCCCTCACCTTTCATTTCCTTTTTCCTCTCTAGCTTCTTCGTATGAGAGAAAACATAAAATCTTTGACTTTCTAGTGCTTAGCTTATTTTGTTTCACATGATGGTCTTAAGTTCCATCCAATTTCCTGCAAATGGCATAATTTCATTTTTCTTTGTGTATATGCCATATTTTCTTTATCCATTCATCCATTGACAGACACCTAGCCTAGTTCCATGGCTTGGCTATTGTGGATTGTGCTGTTATAACCTTGGGTATGCATATATCACTATTGTGTGATGACTTTTATTCTTTAGGCTAAACACTGAGGAGTGGGATAGCTGTGATCCCATTTTCTTGTTCCAGAGGACTAGAAAGTTTTGAAAGTTTTGGGGAAGATAATCCTGTTAAATTTTGAATCAATTCAATTGAAATCCTTCTTACATGAAAGTTTTATGCTTTTTAGACAATAGGAAGGACTTTTTGTTATGTCTAATAAGGATTTTTTTTTTTTAAAGCCTAGAGTTATACAGTCTGGGGAAATAAAAAGTAGCTAAGGGATAGAGGTCATTACAACAGTTTTGAGAAACACAGAGAAGGTTTAGGAACCCTAGAATTGAGCCCTTGTCAAGATGGTGCAAGGTTATCATGAACAGAGGGTAAGGCTTTCTAACCTTGTAAATTGGGAAATAAATACATTCTCAGCCATGGTAAGTTGGTGTAGGCAGTTTCCACAATATCTTTTCTTCTTCTCTCCCTTTCCCCATCCTGATCACTTAAATTGCTTTATTACTCTATGAGTCTAGTGGGAATTGAAACGGACTATTAAATTAACATGCAAAATCAGAGGAAATATATTATCTTGTATTCATACTATCTGCAAAAAAAAAGCAAAACAAATTCACAAAACCTTCTTATTTTTCCAACTGTGAAGAGTTTGAAAAACTATGGAACTTGAATTGCAATTGGAAATCAAACATACTAAACCCATTAATGTAATTTCAGATATAAAGTGCCATAAAATCCTCTAATGTTGTCCTTATTTTACTGAATGAAGACGTTTCTATAAGAGTTTTTTAAAATATGTTTTTAGTTGTAGATGGACACATAACTTTATTTTGTTTTATTTGTCTTTATGTGGTGCTGAGGATTGAACCCAGTGCCTTACATGTGGGAGGCAAGTGCTCTACCACTGAGCTACAACCCCAGCCCTCCATAAGACTTTTTAAAAAATTAACTGTCCCTCTGTCTACCTGTGCTAATATGTCGTATTCCTCTCTGGCCACAAAGAAAATGAGAAGATTGGTTGCTATTGTTTTACTATCTCTAGAATAGAAAGATAATGCCTTTTTTTTTAATGGTGGAAATGCTCCAAAAACTTGCTATATGAACTTCAGAGATAGTTTTTATGAAAATGAGAAGTCTTTGACTTTTGTGAGAGAATAATAGAGATTTTTTAAAAACTGTGCATATTGAACTATTTTCCTCTCCACAATTCATCTCTTTTGTGTGAGGTGTGAGTTTAATGGTTCTTGTGCAGTTTCTTGACCCACCTGGCAGGCACCTGAGTTTCACCAGGCCAGCTCAGAGTTTGTGCTCATGGCACGCAGGTTGGTTAGTTTATTTTCACTCTTGTTATTTTGGATCAGAGAACAATCCCAGTTCCATGCCTGGTTATTTTTGGAATCTGGGAGGTTTTGAAAATGTTTGTACCAAGTGATCCATCGTTG